GTCCATGTGCCAAGTTTCCAGCGCTTGTCCGGGCAGTCTGAAACGCACTGAGCGCACAATATGTGAGCGGTCCAAGGGCCACGGTACCAGTGGCACCTTTAGAATCCAGGTTAGTATTGCTCGGGTCGAAACAATATACCTCAGGATAATAGTACCAATGACAAAAATGAGCAAATTTCTCCTCAAGTGAAAAGCTGTGACAATATTTGGCACAGAACAAGACACGCACAGATGATGTCATGCCTGTGCAAGAGCCATATCTAGTTATGTTCGTATATTTGTCTGCATTTCTGGCAACGCGTCTGCCCCATATATGTGCCTTATGCTATGGTAGGAGGCAACTTTGCAGTTTGCGTATTTTGTAGACACTAAGGACTAATTACATTGCGTGAATGAGTGATGTTACACTCAGTAGACGTTATCTGGGCTTTCGGTGAATGGATGTTCAAATGATCTTCCCTGAAAAATTGACATAATGGTGTCCAAATAGCGGAAGCTTCCCAACTTACTGCGAAAGGATTGCACAGTCTCACACGACCTGATGGTGCATGGCAACGGATTCCACTGAGAAACATATATGGTGAGACAAAAGTTAGACCGCAAATCTTTGCTTACCTCATGGTATACTCAGGGTAAGGTCTTTGTTACCTAGGTCTCGAGTGTAATTTTGCCTCAATGTTAGGGTGAATGGATGGCAATTGGTATTGCCATGAATCAGATTAGCCAGCAGCCGGAAGTTATCTTTTAGTCTTCGCAGCCAAAACGGATCGAGATGGAGTTGGCGGCATTGCTTCCAAGAGTATATGATTGAACATTTTCTCAATACTTGCTTAGTAACTGCCCGTTAAAGGGTTTCTATTGATATGCTGTCTGATTTCCTCATATTGCCTCAGATTATGCTGTAATACTCCAGGATTGGACGATTAAGGATTTTAAATAATTCACCGAGTATCACTGTAAAAATATCATGCATAGGTATCTAGAGTGATCGTTGCGTTAGTACAAATGATTGTCTGGCTCTTGGACTCTGGAGTACTACAAGTTGTTACTAACACCATAAAAGGCCCTGCAGTCGTACTTCTCGTTTCTTCAAATGAGACATGCACGACCAAGCATTTAGAAACCCAGCTACTCACACAAGCGGACAACGAGTTAAGAAACAGCTTAGGAGGACACTTTGTGGATCCAGGACTCGTTACTCGAATTGAGGCTATTGCGTCAAACCTGAATGGATCCTCAATCGAGGTACGCGTCACTTTTAGGTAGAGTACTATACGCTCTTCGTGCCCCGTCTCCAAGCCACCCGTTGTAGGGGTCCTCCCGAACGGGAATGTGCACGGTGCCTCACACGTCCTGCTCTACATCAAAGAATTATCACCCAACATCTGCAAAACATTTGGACGCCATATTTTTATTGTGTGAATGATAAGAGACAAGTTGCCTTTAAGAGCTTCGAGCCTGCACGAGAATTACGAGGGACACCACTAACTCGCTATTTTCAAGAGAATGACTTGCGGTTCCCAAATGAATCATGGCGTGCGGCCACATCCTTCACGCCCCCGCGTTGTATAAACCATATCCTCTCGGCAAAGCAATCAACCATCATGTCTTAACGGCTGCGCTACATCACCCGAGGAAGAGAACCGCGTCTCCCTACAACTAACTGAGACCGACGAGATCGCGATCTTGGAATTAGAGTTACTCGCTCTAACCCTTCAATATCTCACGAACAGCGAAGCCCTAATGCCAAGTCGCCAAGTCGCCAGACACAGTCCATGCGTCCTAGGTTATCAAACATAGGAAATACACACAAACTCTCGTGCTAAGTGATATATTGGCGTGCTATTAAAACCTTACGACGCTGCCTCGAGCCCCCCGATACCATCAGAGCCCTATCTGCCGTCGCATCGATATTAGCGGAGCCACTATGAAGACAGTTGATAGAAGATTGCTCGTAGGAAGCAACTTGCATAGGCGTCACCATTGTGCTTAACATCTGATTGGAGTATAACATTAATAGCAATGAGGTATTATCGAGAACGTAGCACATGGAGAATTCCACCCTCAAAGCCACTTCTCTGTGACTACGAGCGATTGTGTATGCTAACTTATTCCAGGTATGTATTTTAGCAACGAAAGCACCTATTCCAACCTAGCCTACACTTACTTTTATACGTACATTGCTCAACTCGAGAGCGCTCTCGAGCACACCAAAGATTTCTCTACAACCAGAAAATACCGAAGGCTATGAAGCACGAAAGTCGCGCTGTGACTTGTTCTCCTTTGGTAAGAAGATATAGCATTAATCTGTGGAAATAACGTCATCCAATCCCATATCCAGCGTCATGGTGAACCGCACATGGAGCAACAGTTTATGAAGCAGGTGACGCGCCAAATTCCTTGAGTTGAACAACACCAAACATCTTTATTAATCCACGCAAGGCGGAAATATTCCTGAATGTGACTACTTCAAGGAGGGGACCACAAAAGCAATCTAAACACCAATGAGTTATCATAATCAAGATCCAGCTATATGGCGTCTCAAACCAAACTCGCCAGAGAACCGTTATAAATGAAACGCATATCCCAGTCTAACCATCAGTATGAGCCTGTCACTCTCATGCAACCAGGCAAGGGTCCTATCATGCCTCAAATTGACAATTCATGTGCAGCTATCACACACAATTTCGAGCTCATCCAAGCAGTTAATTATTATGTACATTATTATTCCTTAGTTGTTTTATTCTCTCATATTCTATATTATCAACAGATCTGGATACCCAAGTATACGGAAGTACACCGTTCTTGTACACAGAGCTAAGCCGCTCTCACTGATTACGTGTGATAGATTACTAATCGGCGCGATGATCAAACGACCCAGCGGACAATATTGAAATAACTATGACTAGAGTTGGGTGCTAAATAACGTACATCAGCCTCGTCTGTAGGTCCGCACCAAGTCCTCTAAGCGAATGCCAGGAACTTCTTGAAATGAGTGGTAGTACATCCAAAAGCGCAACTCCTCGGTACTTGTGAACAAATGTCATATCATCAACAGTTAAATACGGCACGCTATGTTTGTTAACCGAATTGCTATCCATGACATAAAGAAAGGAAATTAATGTGCCGAACGCAAATCCTTGTTTAACCCCGCTGATAATTGGATGTGGGGAAGAGCAGTAGGCGCCTAAGGTGACTATTTTCGCGGGACCATTCATGTATGATGATAATCAACCCATTAACTTGTTGCTGACTTCAGAGAAATCTATCTGATTCGGTAACCGTTTGTGAGGCACCCGATCGAAAGTCTTCTGCAGGTGCAACCTTTGAATTAATATAGCATACTTTGTGTCAGTGTAGTCAGGTATGTAGTTAAGCTAATGCAGCTACCAGAATATCTATGATTGTTAAGCAAGGAACCGTTTTAGGACCAGTCTAGTGTGTGCATGCAGATTGGCTGTACCCACGGACGCCGCGGATTTTTGCTTTACCGTGCCGGATTCTACTTTAGCTTTGGACGTACTGTGTGATACATGTTTGCTCTGTGTGAATTTTGCACCAATACTTTGCTGGCAAGCTAGAGGTCAAAGCGCATGACTGGGATGAATGGCGTTTTATTCGTGAAGTACTCTCACTCGAAAATGTTATCGCTAATTCGACATCAAGGTTACCGCTATCACCTAACTACAAAGGGTGTGGTCCCCGAGTGATGAAAGTATCATTGCACTCCGAACTGATGGCAGAACATGTGATCAAAATGTGGCACAAAAAGCGTAAAATGCTGCCATCCGAAAATACGTATAAAGGCAATAGGCACCGGGCCACAGATAGACAATGTAACACTGAGCAAGCAACTTACCAATACAATTCTGTCACCGTGTAGCTCAGAACGGAAACAATGCCAAAACACACCGGCAGCTGAAGGAGGACAGGATGGTCACCCTCTTGTTGGCGCTGAGAGCTCTATACAACAACCTGAACTGGCCCTAGGGCCTGCGTCATCGGTCCTACAAAAACGACCGGCAGCCGACCCCGCAAGGGTCGGCATAGACCCTCACCGGAAACCAGCATTCACAAACACGCTTCTGACCACCGATGCCCTCACCTGCTTGTATACCAATGCACAAGGTCTTCTCAGCAAGCTAACCGAACTTCGTATGCGTCAGGTCTCCACGCCTTGGGACCTAGTTATGGTCACCGAAACATGGCTGAACACGGAGATCACGGATGCTGAGATTGCACTACCCGGCATGACTTCCATACGAAACGATCGACCTAGCAGAGGAGGGGGAGTGCTCCTGTATTATCGATCCGACCTGCATGTTGATGTCATTGAGGACCCAGAAACGCAAGTCGTCGACGCTCTTTGGTGTCGTATGCACCTAAGACGTGGTGATGTGTGTTTACTAGCAATAGTTTACCGCCCTCCAATGTCCACCTTGGAAATGGATCAATGCCTAGCTTCTGCGATGAAACGAGTCCTGGCACGACCATACAGTCACGTCCTTCTGGTGGGGGACTTCAACCTGCACGCAATCGAAGTTCCAGCATCGCACAGCGAACAATTCAAGGCGGATTTGCAAGAGGTGATCGCCGATGTACCTCTGTACAACCATGTCACCTCTCCCACGCGATTCCGAACGGGTGACACACCCTCTGTTTTGGACCTTGTGCTCTCCAACGAGGAACTAATGGTCGACACCGTGACCATAGATGCACCACTTGGCCGTAGCGATCACGCGATGTTGCTCTTTCGTTACATCTGTTACTCGGAGTACATCAGTGAGAACAACGTGGAAACCTATGTCGTTACACATTACGATATACTGTCCAACTTCGTTCAAGAAACCGACTGGTCCTTCCTGGCCGAGAAGCCGCCCGATGTCGCCTGGATGTTGTTCGTCACCCAATTCACTGAGCTAGTGGCAAATGCGTCAGAAAGCAAGGTCCTTCGCCCGAAGCAAGTGAATTCGTTCCTGAGGAGCCGTACTAGAAAATGCATGGCCTTAAGGGATTCAGCCTGGCGCGCTTACAAAGTCTGTCCAAGTAACCTGACCTGGGGTGCTTACACAACTCAACGAAACCACTGCGTCAAGTTGATCCGCGAAGACAAACTCCAGCACCAACAGAACTTAGCGGCGAAATTCAGTACAAATCCCAAGTTGCTGTATAGACACGTCAACAAGCTCCGCAGAGTGCAGCGCGGGATCCCGGTTTTACGTGCAACAGATGGTCTTGCGCAAACCGCACAAGATGCAGCCAACGTGCTTCGCCAACACTTCATCCATACTTTCCGGAGTGAATCATCATTTCATCCGCTTTTTACACAGCTTCCATCGCCACCAGGGTTAAACCACGTATCGTTCACGGCAGCCAATGTGATGAAAACGCTAATGTCATTGCGCGTGCACAGCTCACCTGGCGTGGACGACATCAAACCGAAGGCATTGAAGACAGCGGCCATGAACCTTGCCGAACCATTAGCTCGGTTCTTTCAACGTTGTCTCGACGAAATGCAGGTTCCGACAATGTGGAAACATGGACTAGTCACTCCTATTTACAAAAGTGGTAATCGTTCGGAGCCCTCGAACTACCGTCCAATCACTCTCCTCCCAGTTTTATCCAAAGTAATGGAACGTATAATTGCAGAGGCGCTCATGGGATATCTTGAGAGCAACAACATCCTAGTGTCACAGCAACACGGATTCCGCCGAAATCGATCCTGCACTACAAACTTGCTGCTAGCCCGAGCAAGCTGGACAGAGTCAGCCGATGCCAGAGTGGGAGTCGACGTTGTCTACCTGGACTTCTCGAAAGCGTTCGATCGTTTGGACCACCGCATTCTCCTTCACAAGCTTCGAAGCTATGGAATCGGTGACCCTATACTCGGTTGGATCGGCAACTTCCTCGCTCAACGTCAGCTGAATGTGAGAGTCCGCAGCTCCATTTCCGACCCAATTGACGTCCAGTGTGGCGTGCCTCAAGGATCGGTACTGGGGCCACGTTTATTCCTCACATTCATTAACGATCTTGCCAGTGTACTGCAGTCGAATTTCTTACTATTTGCAGATGATATCAAAATTTGGCATGATATCAGGACATCGGATGATCACATGGCATTGCAGAGCGATCTCGACAGGGCTTATGCGTGGTCATCCGACAACCGGCTCCAGTTCAACGTGACCAAGTGCAAAGTCGTAAGCATACGCCATCAGCTTATCTATGAATATCGACTTGGGGACCAGCAGTTACAACGTGCTTCCCAAGAAAACGACCTCGGGGTGATCGTGCAGGACGACCTTGGTTGCTCGAGACAGGCTGAAAAGGCATCAAAAAGAGCCAGTCAACATCTTGGACTCTTACGGAGGGCTTTCGGCAATTTTGAGCCATCAATCTTTCCGCAAATGCTGAACGCCTACGTGAGGCCTCACGTGGAATATGCGATCCAGGCCTGGCGTCCCTGGCGCAAGCGCGACGTCGATGCACTTGAAGCTCCACAACGTAGAGCGACCAAACTCGTTAGAGGATTGTTTCATCTCTCCTACCAACGCAGACTGCAGTCCCTGAGATTGTACAGTGGTGAATATCGACGTCAGCGAGGAGACCTAATCATGGTTTACTTAATACTGACGAACCCAACTCACCCATGTCGCAATCTGTTGCAGCTGAGCCAAAATACCAACCTGAGAGGCCATCAGCTCAAACTGGCTACGCACTACAGTCGACTTGATTGTCGACGAAACGTTTTCTCCCTCCGTGTGTCCCGTGCCTGGAATGCCCTTCCGACTCACGTTATCCTTGCCCCTACATTAACGCTTTTCAAAAAACGCCTTGATGAAACGCTTTCAAACTTGCATTACTTGATATAGTCCGTTCCACTTGGAGGACGAAATAACGCAAACCTAACCATGTGCTTAACGGCCCTCTCCGCAACGTGGCGGTGAGGATACATGCAGAAGTGTCCATGTGATTAGCCTGGATGTAGCTAAACTGGATTAACCTATCACATCTGTCAAATGAAGAAACAAACGAGTGAGCGTTGTCGTTTCCTTTTTTATTTCTCACGCACTTACTGAACTATAACAGCTCTCTATACTATTTTGCGTGTGCACATCCCATTCCCACTTCAAACTATCGTTATGCAGTAGTGCATTTAACTCGGTGGACGCTTGAAATAACGATTTACTTATTCGATGATCCTTCAAATTTTAATTTTTACTCCAACCATCCTACGGGACTTGTCAAGCACATGCTTTTTTACCCGTGATAAATCATTGTTCATTGTTCATTGTTCAGTGCGTTAATGAACTTCCTCACATCTTTTTACCAATTAAACGAATAATGCGGCTAATAGGAGTGTTATGGCTTGGCCTGTGATTTTCAATCTCTTGTTTTGCGCATCCCTTGTGGCGTGGGCTGATAAATGAAAATTTCCATTGATCTGCAAACTACTCGGATCCCAGTGGAACGGCATGCATTTATAAAAGGAACAGTGACATATCAGGCACTCCCGTTTTCAAGGCGGAAGTGAGGATGTCACCAGATTCCAGCATTGAGCATGGTTGAATAGATTGCGTAGCTTGGCGGATACTGCGGAGAACAATAAAAATTTAGATGCCGCCTTATTGTTAGTTTAGCATTAGTGTCAAGGGTCATGTATATGGAGAAGAAAGAGCTAAATGCGTGTGGATGTTGTCCACAAGTTCAGTGATAAATGAAAAGCGTGTGTTGGTTATTCGACCGAGAAATCCGACCAGCTCTTTTGCTTTACTTGTCATTCGTAGGTTTGCCTTATCTTCTTGTGTTCTCCACGTCAACTGTGTGTTTGATTTCAGAGGTGAGTCGGTGCATCTGTGGAGTTATTGTAAAATATAACATCCATTTTTAGCGCGCTATCGGTTTGCTGTATTTCTGACTCATGGAACGTTTGGTTGCATCATTTTAGATGTCACCGATTCGGTTTGCTTGTGCAGCAGCGAAGATTAACGCTTGTTGAATCTAATGATAGAAGTGCTTCACGGCTGTGCATGCATTGCTGAAGAGAAAGAAGGCATCCCAATCGCTGGACCGGATTATTTAGTGGAAGGGTTTCCAGTTAATACTGCGCTTTGTGTAGTAGGAAGGATGTACTTTTTTGGTGACCATTTTAATAGTGAAGATTAAGAGTATCATCATGCCGTCCCTACCAGAGCTGTTCTCTGAACGGTCACACCGTACGTTGACCATACCAAATGTAGACGTCACGTCTAATGTGTTCGACAAGCTAGTTGTTAAAGTAACTCACTGTGTCCAACCAACGCTGACTGAATAGATGAAAACTCTGTGTCTGGGAAGACCAGTGTATCTTCGGTATGTTGAAATCACCCACAATTATGCTTTGTTTGTGCGTCAATTCCGATACAAAATCAAAAGCTGAGGAGATACCGACACCTTCATGGCTGATGCATTTGGCGGGTTGTGGATAGATGCAGGTAAATCGAAGCTCCTGAGATGGAGAACCAGAGAAAATCAGGGAGATTTGCCAGCGGTGGATGTTTAAACCGTTCAGCTGTACCTATGTGATGGACTTACATGAAGCATCCTCCACCCTTTCTTTTATAGCGATCTATGCAAAAAAGATGTTAAAAAGGATTATTGGATTATAGTCTAATATATCAGCGGGGTACCACGTTTCGATAATGAGGATTGTCTGCAGCTCGTTTAAATGTGCAAGCTTTCTTAGGAAATACCGTTTGTTGAGAATCCATCTGGCGTTAATCAAAAGTAATGAAAACATACCACAAATGCTGGAAGCAGCGTTCGCTTCACTGTTCTGAAAGTCATTCTAATCGTGCATCATTTGGGCGGCAAATAAGTGTGGGAGCACTGGGAACGTGTCCATTGCTAATAACGTGGTGGGTAGGGGTGGTGTGTCGACCGCGATCGCCGGTATACCTTGTGAAAAGAGAGGGTTGCTATATATATATATATACATATATATATATATATATATATATATATATATATATATACTGCATTATCTCCTGGCGCAGCTCCATTATGTTAGCCCCATGAGCGCGTTCCAACAGTTTGTCTCGTAATATCCCCGTAGCCGTTTACCCGAAGTGTGAAGCCGAAGACGTAGAAAGTTTGCTCCGATGAGCCTGCTGATCATATACCCCACATGCCTGCCCAGTTTCGTTACATTCTGGATAGGCTGAAGCGAAGAAGAATACAAATGACTTCTTACGATCACATGGCTAGCACTGCAGTTGTCGCGTACTCCTTCAGTTCATGGACGATGTGATTGCGACGGAATATTTTACAAGTTGTGACAAATTGCAAAAGGTACTAACGACTAAGCACTACGCGTCGTGGTAAACCAAACGCTCGTTCAAAGAGAAATTTGGCGGAGTACAGTGTAGCTGTCACCTAACGGAATGTAAATAACAACATATGAATTGGACACAGTCACTCCAGGCCGATGATCCACATCAGACTAGGAGTCACAAACACTTCTCAAAATGGGACCATTTAAAAGATTAGGAATGCAGATGGAATCAATCTAGTACATCCAGTAACTTGTCTGCTAGCCACAAGGCTTCGTCAATCATATCACTCGACAACGAAACACATCACTTTGCTACAAAAACTGCCGTATTGCTAAATGCTACATCCTCCCCGAAGGCACTACGACAGGGCAAATAAATAGTGGCGGCGCACGAAGTTCACTCGGGTAATTCAGGTAAATAAGGAAACAAGCCAAACGTTGTTCTGCCATTTATCGACGTCCTTGCAGCTTGTTGTGAATAATTTGCAGCGGGATCAGTGCACGTTAAGCCTGAAATAGACGACTGTTACAGACAGCCAAGCATGCAGCCATTTTTGCACGCGGTGACATACATTGCTGCCGAGGTGCAAGCTACACTGATGCATGTTGTCATGCGCAAGCAACGGGATCCTGAATCATTGTTGGACGATGACAGTGGCTCGATAGCGCATGCTTACAACGCATTTACAGTGCTTACAACAGCACAGTACGCAGGCAACGCCTATGGTGAAGCGCAAGTGTCTGGCATGTCCAGTTTGGATTTAAACAGCAACTTAACTTGGTGCCCAACCATATGCTCAGCAGCGTACTACTTTTGTTCTCAATTGACGGTGACGATATCTGAATTTCCTGCCGTTTTAGTCTACTTTGAAGGGCATCGTTATGAACACTTTTTTCTTAGGGTCGTCGGACACTCGTTCGTTCCCGGTATCTGCGTTCCCGTCTGACTGCTTTGCTAAGAACTTCTCCGGACGTCCATTTTCGCTACCATAAAGGAGGCGCGTTGCAAATCATATGCAATTGCTTCCTCTAACGTAGCTGGCTAGCTATCACAAAGATGGTACGAACCGGAGCTCGTTTGTAATTCCCAGGACACTAAATGTCAAATATATGGTAGTGTACCATTTAGGTTTCTCTTAAGCGAACATCCAAAATTGGAAGGCGTTGTAAGATTCGTTCTCCACTGTAAATTCGATTGCGGGGTAACAGTTGCTTAGCACAAACAGTAGTTGTCCTACTTTCGCGGCAGTGTGTACAACGACGAAAGTGTCCTTTGTGTAGTGGCTATATGAATGCACGTGGTGTATATTCCAACCTGATGATCTCTGTATGTGACATATCTAATCTGCTAAGTATATGTAAAGGACTGACAGAAATACGCAGAATAGTTAACTTCAGATTATTCTGTTGAAATGTTGTCCCTTCTTGCTCTTTTGACACTGGCAGTTGTTCGTTGTGTAGTTCAGCCTACTGTGGTCGAAACAGTGACAGTCTTAGACGAGACCAGCAATCACTGTTCGCTTTCAACGGACCGACGAGATAGGCAATAGGAGAGCTAGTCACTGAATACCAAACAAGATGCATTTTGTAGTGTCGAAGGTGCGCAAAGTGAAACAACTGTGGTCTCGGAAAGATTTGACAGTGAAAATATTCATGGCAAGCAGCACGCCAGAAGATCCAAAAACAAAACCTCAGATAAGAGAAAGTTAATTTCTATAGTATTAAAAGTGGAAACTCAACATTCCGTGATATTTAAACTAAGTAAGGATACCAGGATTAAGTCATTTAAGAATCTTGTACCATGCATCTTGTTTTGCATAGGAATTCTTAGTTGTCTCAAAAGTATAATTTCTTTGCACATGATTGTGGTTAAAGTTAAGATTGTGCAATCACGACTGACGTTGTCTGTGTAGCCTACGAAATTGTATCAGAACCACTGTCTTGGATCTGTGTCTGCCCGTTTCATGGAAAGGTGAAGTCATTGTGCCCGGTTCAGAACTACTTCGGTCAGCCTCCGCCTGGTACATTTTGATACCTAAGTTAGCCCGGATCGCATAGTAGGATAACTGTATGTTACACCAGTTTTGGAATAACTCTGTTTCACTGCACTCAGAGGACAACATAAGCAGGCAGCTACGGAGGAGAATGACAGAGGGAACGCTTCAAAGCTTGTAGGCTGCAACCGTGTGAACCAGGCTTGACTGCCTTCCTTAATAGACCAGCATGGCACACAGTGTGTCCACCAGTGCACCTGATGTATCATGGGCAGACTGTTGCCATGCGGAGGCTTGAGAAGCAGACACTCAACGTCATCGCGCAGCTGCAGTGAGTACGTGAAAGGCTTGTCTGGTATTCAAGACAGATGCTTACGGGGTCTGAGCTGCTGCACATGACTGGATCTTTAGCAGAGTACGGCTGCAACATATGACTGTCGGAATGCTACTGACTACCTATTCGTCCACAATACGTGCGACTAAGGCGACTTTGCCGTGTAACTAGTGTGTGTGTGTGAATTCAGTGCCTATTTGATTTCTACTTTCTGTACTCTGGTTGCATCTG